CCCGTCTGCCCCTGCAAGCACACACGCACACGTGCCCTTCTGCACGGCCACTGTCCCATCATCCACTGGGGTGAAGGGAAGGGGGGTGGACTACCGCAACACGGTACTTTTCAGATCAATTGTTGTGATGCCTTTCCCATCATTCATTTATCAATAAAAATCAGAGCTACAAATAGAAAACAAAAAAACAAAAAATAAGTGTCTTAAAGTCTCCCCTCCCCTTTCTCCCCTAGACTTGGAATCTTCTAAGAAATGTTTATTTGTATTTATCTAATTTCATTCTAGAAAATGTTTCTTAAAAAAATTATTTATTTTGACAGAGAAAAAGAGCTCGAGTGAGCACAGGCAGGGAAGGGGCAGAGAGTGAGGGGGAGGATCTCAGACAGTCTCCACGCTGCCAACATGGAGCCTGACGCGGGGCTCGATCTCACGAACCATGAGATCATGACCTGAAGCAAAATTAAGAGTCAAGACACTTAACAGGCTGAGACACCCAGCTGCCCCTAATTTCATCCTAGACTCACGAGGTGGCCACACCAAGAGACAGGACCTGAGTCCCGTTCACATGGTCTTACTGAGTGGAAAGGTGAACTAATGTGTGGGAAGAAGGCAACAGCTCTTTCTGAAACGTGACTGTGAAGCCACGCAAGCACCTTGCCTGACTCGCTCCCCGCAACGGTGCAGTGGGCCCGGCGCCAGGCCTTGCACACCCTCCGCCTGACAATCACGGCAGCTCCATCCGGCCAGACCCACATTAATCCAAACCTAAGAGAACTCACCGTAAGCTGGGAAACAGCAGACACCGGCCCTACTCAAAGACAACGAACAGCACTTCCTTCCCTTTGCGGTGTCTGCTATTTGCAAGAGACTCTGTGTTGGAGCTGGAGGCATGATTATTATTGTCAGTTTGGTCAGAATGTTAGGAAACAGGAACATGTCATACTGTAAGGAAAACAAGGAGAGGAAGTGGATGCCACATCCCTCTCCAACTGAACAGCAAAATGGCGAAAGCATTATGGGATTTATTTGTTAAGTAGAATTCGTGGAGTTCCAGGACCTGCTCTGCCAGGGTAGAGAGATGGAAGCTAAGGAGCCCTGCACCCCGGAAGTCGTAGTGTAGGCGGGAGAGACACGTGACTCCAGCAGTTACACTCCATACGTCAGCTCCTACCTCCTCTGAACTCCCCTCATGAGAGCTGAGCTAGGTCTAGAGAGAGACCTACAGGGAGTATGAGATGAGATTCTAGGCAGAGAAAGCAGCACGAGGAAAGGTCTGGAAGCCTGAGGGGACACAGCATATTCAGGGAATTACAAAAAGTTCAGTTCACCCAAGGCAAGACTGGTCTTTCCAGTGGCTGTGGACAAGCTGCAGATGTGGTCTGCGGCCCGGAGAGTTGAGGCAGCCTTCCAGACACCGTGCAGAGAGGTGCCCAGCACCCAGCAAGAGACCCCTGACGTGACACATGAACACCCCTCGGCTCTTGCGTTTTGCCCTCTCACTACTTCTCCCTTGACAAGAGCTCATCTATTTTTTTCTTGAATACTTTCAACCAGTAATAAGAAACTTCCATCCACTACTTATTTTCTTTATTTATGTTAAACTCGGGGGGGTCAGACGAAGAATCCCAGAGAAGGTTGTATTCTTACTAAAAAACTCCTCTGCTCTTCCCCTCCACCCAGTTTTCACGGATATATTTTTCTCTCTTATGTTAAGTAAGTCTGTGAACCGTATCAAAGAATTATTGAATGGTAAGTGGAAAAACTGATTTGCATTAATATAAAAAAAAATTGGGGACTTTTGTTTTCTTTGCTGAAAAACATTTCAATAAGAATCCGTATTCAGCAGCAGCCCTTAATAAGAGGAAACACTTCAGGGTAAAAACAACTTGGTATATAGAGGTGATTATTTTTTAAATGGCTGGATCACTCAGAGGCAATCTGGAGTGGAATATGAACAAATGTTACTTTGATGTCCTGGAAAACATGTCTCCTTGATCCCGGTCCTGAATCTTCCCACTGCCCACATTCATCTTCCCTATCTTAGAGTAAGCTACCTGGTCAAAGAGATTATTTCTTTTTCATTTCTTATCCTTCAAGTACCACACCTTACTTAGCACTCAATAATGTTTGCTGGGCTCTGGTGGAATGTTCGGGAACCACAACAAGGTAAGGGAGGGCACTGGTGACAACATGCAACACCATGTGGGGCTGGGGTCAATCAGATGGGCAAAGCACCGTGTGACACGGTCACTTACATAATCTCCATAGGTCTCTTGTGTCGGGGGTGGTGGCGGAGGTCTGTACCCGGTTGGGGGCACTCCTCTTGCTCTGGGAGTGAGAAGCCCTCTTCCCCGACTCACGGGCCCTCGGGTGGAAAGGACTCCTCTGGAAGCCGGCGTCCCTCGTGGTACACCAACTCCAACCGGCCGGGCTGTGACTCCGCCCCTTCCCCTGTAAGCAAGAGGGTCACGTCAGCAGTATTCATCATATTCTCTACCATTCCACAGTTCACATGCATTTATACCTCAGGAAAATCAATGTTCCATATTTCTGTAAGAAGAAACAAGGAAATCACATGTGAAGTAAAAACTAAAGCAAATGAGAGACTGCTGTCTACTAGAAGGAAGCCAAGTCATTTAGGCAGCTTATCCAGCAGCGACAGATGTAATAACATCAAAGAAACCCCAAGACTCAATTTCTGGCTAAAATACTGGGTAGGAAGCTATGACATCTGGGAAGGCTATAGCCACTGAGGGCCCAGGCCAGGGTCACATCCAACCTCTATGCTAACACTATGAGGTTGCTGTATTCTGCTTATCTATCAACAAGGAAACTGAGGCTAGAGAGATCTTCAAACTGAGAACATAGAGCTAGCTAAAGCTAGGGGCCAAATTATACATCAGAGTTCCATGAAAGAGAAAATTAAATGTACCCTCCCAAATAATGTATCTGCCACAGAGTAATTTAAAATACCATTCTCAAGTTGAATAAACAGATATTTTCTAAAGTAGAATTCAACATATGCATTTATGTATTTCTAACATAAAATACGAGATTTCAAGTCAGAGAGGAAGGAAGGAGGCTGTACTGAGAATAGCTCAAAAAGGCAAAAACCTGAGAAAATGTGCAAGGCCTATGAAGAGATGACAGAAAAATGAGGCTACAACAGAGAATAAAGATTTGGCCTGATCCCACTGACAATGTCTCTCAAGTAAAGGGAACTGTCCTAAATAACATGGTTGCCTGCATAGCTCCTAGCTCCTTCTTTAGTTTTATTGGGACAGCAGATACATAGCTAAAGACTTAACAGAGAAAATTAACAAAACCAAAAGCTGGTTCTTTGAAAGGTTCAATAAAACTGATAAGCTTCTAGATATGCTAAACAACAAAAATAAACAGTATTAGAAGTGAAAGTGCGGTCATCACTATTGACCTCAAGGACATTAAAGGATAGTAAAGGAAGATTATAAACAATTCTAGGCCCACAAATGTGTTAACTGAGATGAAATGCACTAGTTCCTTGAAATATACAAATAACCAAATCCTACAAGTGGATATCAAAGAACTTTAATAAAAAGAGCAATAGTCTTTCCAAAAAAAAAAAAAAAAAAAAGCACCAAGCCCTGATGGTTTCACTGGTGAATGAATTCATTCATATATTAAAGAAAGAAATAATATCAGTTCTCTACAATCTCTTCCAGAAAGTAAAAATCAGAGGAAATACTTCCTTAACTCCTTCGATGAGGCTGGTCATTGCAAGTGCCTCCTGAAAATTACTCCTGCATTACTAATCAGAGACGGGGCCAACTGGGAGGAGAGGTGTAAGTCATCTAGGCTTAGCCCTGAACCCTGGTGGGGACCGCTATAGGAGGTACCTCTCAAGATCTTTCTTCTAAGACCCCTCTGAGAGCCACAACTGGCCAAAGGGTTGGATGGGGGAACCAAGGGGGTCTAGGGAGGATACCACAGGACTGGCCTAGCTGGTATCTGACCTCCCCAGGAAGACATATATTATCCAAGGGGGAAACAAGGATAAGACTCCCTAATAACAAAAGCCATTAGAGACATTATGAAATGGGGGGAAAAATCCATAAATCATTATCTCTTCAAGAACAAAAGTGTACAATTCTTCAAAAATAGTAGCAAATTAAATCCAACAATATATTAAAAAATTATAAATCATGACTAAGTGGGACTTATTCCCAGTATGTGAGGCTGCTTCCATACTAGGAAACCAATGTGATCTACCACATCAACAAGACTTAAGAAAAAACGAATCATATAATCATAAAGAGCAGAAAAAGCATCTAACAAAATGTAATACCATTCATGAAAAAAATCAACAAAGTAGGAAGAGAGGAAAATTTCTTCAAGTCGAAAAAAAATCTACAAAAACCTACAGCTACTATCATACTGAATGGTGAGAAGCTGAATGCTTTCCCCTTTGGACTGGGAACAAGGCAAGGATGGCCACTTTTACCACTCTTGTTCAAATTGTATTGAAAGTCCTAATTCAATAAGAAAAAGGAATAAAACTTGTAAGATTGTGGAAGAAGAAATAAAATTTTAGTTACAGGTGACATCATTTCTATGTGAAAATCCCCAAAGAATCAACCATAACAAAATAAAACAAAGCAAGCAAGCAAACAAAAACTCTTAGAGCTTATTTTTCAAAACGTTTATTTATTTATTTGTGGGAGAGAGTGAATGCATGCACACATGTGTGAACAGAGGAGAGGCAGAGAGAGTGAGAGAGAGAGACAGAGAGACAGAGAGAGAAAATGAATCCAGGGCTCGATCTTATGACTGCAAGATCATGACCTGGGCTGAAATCAAGAGTCAGATGCTTAATTGACTGAGCCACCCAGGTGCCCCCTCCTAGAGCTTATTAATAAGCATAAAAACAAGGTCTTGGAACACAAAGCTAATAAGTCAACAATATATACTGTATACCAGCAATTAACAACTAAAACTTGAAATTAAAACATAATTTTATAGTACTCATTTTTGCAAGATATATTCTAAAACTGGAACAATCCAGAGCAGATTAGCATGGCCCCTGCTTGAGAACAACATCCCAATTTGTGAAATGTTTCATATTTTCCTATACGTGTGTGTAGGCAAGTGGCCTATGAGCAAGGGGTCTATGAGAAATCTCTATACCTTTCTATCAACTTTACTCTGGACCTAAAATTGCTCTAAAATAATAAAGTCTTTAAAAGACACATCTTAACACTTAGTAAAGCAACAAAAGAAATGTTTTGGTACAAATCTAACAAATACGTACAACTGTGCTATGTAGAAAACCAGAAAACTGTGATGAAATAAATCAAAGGAGAACTATCCCCTGCTTAATGGTTGTTAGAGTCCATACCGTTCAGTGGCCAGTTTTTCCCAGCTTGACCTACAGACTCAGAGTAATCCCAATCAAAATCCCGGAGACTGACAACATGTTCTAGAGGATGCATAGAAAGACAAAAGACCCAGGACAGACAGCATGCTGCCAAAGAAGAAAATGCTGGGGGACGCACAGTATCTGATTTCAGGGCTTATTATAAAGCTACAGTAGTCAAGAAGTAAGTATTAATGGAAAAAACAGACCCACAGAACAATGGAACAAAAGACAGCCCTGACATTGATCCACGGAAATGTACTCAAGTGACTACTGACAACGGAGCAGAGACCAATCAATGGAGAAACCAGTCTTTTCAACAAATGGTACGAGAACAAATGGATATCCATATGCCACACACACACACACACACACACACGCGCATGCATGAAAAAAGAAAAAAGGAAAAGAGAGAAAAGAACCTACACACATCTTTCATAAAAATTACTTCAAAATGGATTTTGTTTACTTCTTTCAAAAAAATATAACGTACTGTCAAGTTAGCTAACATACAGTGTGTACAGTATGCTCTTGGTTTTGGGGGTAGATTCCCATGGTGCATCGCTTACATACAACACCCAGTGCGCATCCCAACAAGTGCCCTCCCCAATGCCCATCACCCACTCTCCCCTCTCCCCTGCCCCCCCATCAACCCTCAGTTTGTTCTCTGTATTTAAGAGTCTCTTATGGTTTGCCTCCCTCTCTGTTCAAAATGGATTTTACACCTAAATATAAAATATAAAACTTATAGAAGAAAACTCAGAAGACATCAATGTGACTTTGGTTTGATGACGAGCTTTAGGATACAATATGAAAAGTGTAATCTATGAAATAAAAATCGGTAAATTGGACTTTTTTAAAATTAAAAATTTCTGTTCTGACAAAGACACTGTTAAGAGATGAAGAGACAAGTCATAGAAAAGGAGAAAATATTTGCAAAACATGTATCTGAAAAAGAATTGTATCCAAAATGTATAAAGAACTTTTTAAAGCTCAATAATAAGAAAACCCAGTTAAAAAAATGGGCAAAAGAACAGAATGCCCACTGAAGTTATACAGATGCCAAATAACCAAATGTTCTACATCATTTGTCATTAGGGAACTGCAAATTAAAACATATCTATCAGAATAACTAAAATCAAAAGAAACCAGATATACCAGTGATGGTGAGGATGTGAAGGGAAGGTGTTCTTGTGCATTGCTGGTGGGCACGCAGAAGAGGACAGCCACTTAGGAAGACAGTCTGGCACCTTCTTACAAAGCTACATGAGATCTCACCACACAATCTGGCAACTGTATTCCTAGGTACTGACCACCTGATCTGAAAACTTACTTCCACACAAAAACCTACACAGGAATGTTTACTGCAGCTTTATGCCCTTCAAGAGGTGAATGGACAGCTTTTTCCCCTTCCCTTGCTCCATGGTCTTCTGTTAAGTTGCTCAACTTCCACATATGAATGAAAACATGTATCTGTCTTTCTCTGACTGACTTATTTCACTCAGCGTAACACCCTCCAGTTCCGTCCACGTTGTTGCAAATGGCAAGATTCCATTCTTTCTCATTGCCAAGTAGTATTACTCCGTTGTGTATATATCTACCACATCTTCTTTATCCATTTGTCACTTGATGGACATTTGGGCTCTTTCCATGTTTTGGCTATTGTTGATAGTGCTGCTATGAACACTGGGGTGCACGTGCCCCTATGCCTCAGCGCTTCTGTATCCTTTGGGTAAATTCCTAGCAGTGCTACTGCTGGGTCGTACAAACAGAGAGGGAGGCAAACCATAAGAGACTCTTCAATAAAGAGAACAAACTGAGGGTTGATGGTGGGGGGAGGGGACAAGGGGGCAGGGAAAATGGGAGATGGGCATTGAGGAGGGCACTTGCTGGGATGAGCACTGGATGCTGTATGTACGTGATGAATCATAGGACTCTACCCTCAAAGCCAATAGCACACTGTACACACTGCATGTTAGCTAACTTGGTCATAAATTATGTATTTTTAAAAAATGTTTGATATTTTATCATTTATTTGGATGGAAAAAGTACTGAAAAGAAAAGCAAGGATCTTCTTGAGAAAAGCTCGTATCTAGGAGTTTTGTTTAACCTGTATGAACTCAAGTGAATCAATGAAAGATTTTCCCTGACTGGGGGGGGGGGAGGGGAGAGGTGAATGGATAAGAAAGGTGGGCTGCATGCATACAATGGGGTATTATTTGTCAATAACGAGAAATGAGCTCACAAACCAGGAGAAGATACAGATGAATCTAAAATGTCTGTTTCTATATGAAAGAATCCAGTCTCAAAAGACAACATATGGTATGATTCCAATTCTATGACATACTGGAAAAGAAGCTACACTGGTAAGTTTAAAAAAAAAAAAAAAAAAAAAGAATCAGTGGCTGACACAGGTTCCGGGGAGAAGGGAAGGCAGAGCAGGTGAAGCAGTAGGAACATTTTAGGGGGCTGAAACTATCCGGCAGGATGCTGAAACGGCAGATAAGTGACAAAGAATTTATCAAAACCCACAAAACTTTATATCACAAAGAGTGAACTTTAATGTATGAAACCTAAAAAATATATATATTATCCAAGAAATTGAGGGTACTAGGATAGAATGCTAAATGTGACAAAACATTTGAACTGCATTAAAAACACAGAACTGTATTAAAAACATATAAAACACCCTTATGGGGGTGCCTGGTGGCTCAGTCAGTTGAGCACTGGACTCTTGATTTTGGCTCAGGTTATGATTTCGTGGTTTGTGAGATCGAGCCCTGAGTCAGGCTCCTCACGGAGTCTGCTTGGAATTCTCTCTCCATCTCTCTCTGCACCCTCCCTGCTCACTTGCTCTCTCTCCCTCTCTCTCTCAAAATAAACTTAAAAATAAAACAAAACAACAACACCTTTATGAAGTTGAGAAGAAAAATAAATTTAAAAATGAGTGACATTTCTAAGATTAAAGGCAAAAGAAACTGTATGGCAGTACTGCTCTAGGTGACAGAGTTATTTCCCATGTGGAGGGGTGCAGGTGCGCGCACGGTTCTGAGACACTACGCATGCACACTGGATGGTGGACGACGGAAGCCACGCCTCCTGTGTTGGAGAGAAGGTTACAGATAAGTAAGGGGAAGAGGCTAGAATGAGCAATAAGGTAATGGACTGGAATTGGACACATCAGTATGAACTCGATTCATTTACTACAGATACAGACAGTCACACACAGAAATATGCACAGATGTGTGTGTATATATATATATGTGGCCTCGCAGCACACGTTTCCTCGCTCTGACAGCTAAGAGGGCCTGGACGCAAGGCCATCCCAGCAGCAGCAAGCAGAGTCAGCCCCCAGACCGTGTCACTGCCACCATCTCCAATAACAGGAGCCACGGCTCCTTGGAGAAATGGCTGATTCCAGGACCGGAGCAGAAAGTACCCTGGATACTGCTGCAGCAACTTGTAGAGCAGAAAGTAGGGAACGCTCAGGCGCCTGGGTGCCAGTCAGGCAAGCGTCTGACTCGGCTTTGGCTCAGGTCATGATCTCACAGTTCCTGAGTTTGAGCCCTGCACTGGGCTCTGTGCTGACAGGAAGCTTGCTTGGGATTCTCTCTCTCTCTTTCTCTCTCTCTTCCTCTCTCTCTCTCTCTCTTCCCCCACTGCCTGCTTATGCACATACTTTCTGTCAAAATAAACACATAAAAAAAAACCTGTTAAAAAACAGTAAGGAAGTAGTTGAAAATAAGTAAACAAATGGAAAATAAGTAAACAAACAAATAGATAAATAGCCAACAAAAAGAATTAGGAGGGCATGTGAAAGGAGCAGGGAGGAGCCAACTGAAAGAACTCCCAATGGCCGAAGCTGAAACATTCTGAGTAAAAAAAACAAAAAAAAAACGCAGTAGTGGATTTTAACCGAATGTATAAAATCTACAAATATGCATAAGTCCACACTAACATAAACAAAATGACTAAAATAATGATGCGAGAGAACAGAAAAATCTTCCGATAATTTATGTAGATATTCCACCCCTGAAAGGGGGGCGGGGGAGTGACTGTAAGTGGGAAAAGCTAACAAGCATGCCCTCCGCCCAGGTACCAGGGCAACGTCAGCAGTACTATATCATGTGGGCAGTATGAACCCTCGGCATGTGATGAAAATGACACTTCACCTTTGTGGTTTTTGTTCTCCAAAACCCTAATGCCACGCTCATCTTGAGAAAAAAATCAGACCAATCCTAAATGAGGGTCATCTTACAAAACACCTGGCCAGCACTTCTCGAAACTTTAAGGCTATCGAAAAGATGCAAAGTCTAAAAGCCTTTTTCACCCTTAGGTAACTTATATTATTCCTTTTACAAGTATTGGAAATTAGGCCTTTCTCTGTTCATCCTAGGCCATAAAAACTGGTAGAGTAAAAGTGGTAGTCAAGAGAAAGCACACTGAAGTCAGATCCGAATTCGATTTCTGACTGTACTTACTGGCTTAACTTCGGTCTTCCAGCTAATATTCAAACTACTCAATAGTCTGAACTTTCCAAGCCAGTTTCTTCCACTGCCAAGTTGAGTTAGACACCCCGTTTCTTAGTGGTACTGGGCAGGAGCACGACACAGGACACACAAAGTACCTACCACATCTCCTACTCAATCAAGATCAACAGTGCATGTAAATTCCAATCACTCTGAACAGCAATGAAGATGACATTATCATTT